TTATAAAAGTTGTTTTTGTTTTAATAACGGATTTTTCATAATTCACGTTTGGTGCAACACAAGATTATGGAGTTGGGTTGGGAGGTTCTCTCCACACCCACCATATTCTACAAATATGGCACCATCAGATTACCATCTTTTTCGCTCGCTGCAACACCATCTTAATGCGAAAACGTATGCAAATGTGGAAGGTTATAAAGAGGACATCAACATATTTTTTGCTTCAAAGCCAAGTGATTTTTTTTAATCAGGGCATTAGCAACCTGACTGTAATATGTAAAAGCATCATTGATAAGAATGGAGCCTATTTCATTTAATAAATGTTTTGTTTTGATATATAAGTTGTTCGGGTTTTTTCATCTAAAAAAAAGCAACATTAATTTCTTGACGACCTAATATGTCAAAACAATAAACCCATCGCAGGTCTGTGTTATTTTCCATTAAAGCAGCAGTGACAGTCCTCTAGACTATACAAGAAGCCAAATAAGGGGAAGCCTTTTATCGCAAAGAGAAGGTTATTTTTACAGACTACTTCTTGCCTCACAGTGTTACTAGGATGGAGATTAGCATATTTCCTGGTACTATAACAAAATAATAAATAAGAGTATGTAGTATTGGTGCTACATGACTTAAAATAACAGTTCCCCTCTCACTAGGGCGAGACAAAGCCACAAGACATACAAAATGGCGGCGTCCAATGAGAGAAGCTATATTAGTCACATCATATAATTTACATTCATAATCATTAATTACCTCCAGAGAATTTTGGATGAGTTTACTGATTACAATCATATAAGTTGTACATTTCTTTATGGCGATAGATCATGTTAGATCATCTAGTTTCTATATATACAAAGAACAAAAATCTGTGTGTATGTCTGTTTGTCCTTTATTAAATTATTCCTAGGTCGCTGATCCATCTCAACCAAACTTTGTGGGATGATAGTTTGGAACAAGGGGCATGTTAATGGATGTTAACAACCTATTATTGATGTTATTCATCATTTATTATCTTTGACGTCAATTAATATTAACTGCATTCATAGGTAACGCCAAGACCTTACACCAAAAACAAAAACTTTATTCTAGATTTCTATAACACAACATAAACACAGTGTGGGGGAGTGCATAAAAACGTCTTATATATCTCAGAAAGTGCGCTAGCACTTTCTATGGAGGAATGTAATGAAAAAAATGGCCTCCACTATTGCAATAATATATGAACTCAGCTTAAGTTTCTACTGCAACAGCCACAATAAGGCTATTATAAAGAGTTTTTTATTTTTTTTTTAGTTATACCCACGTCCTACTTTGACTCGTGACCTTTCAACTTCGACCCGTAAGACACTTCTGCGGCCAATGACCGTCAATTAAAATTCGGTAACGTACCTGAAGATGACAAAATTTTGTCGAAACGTCGTACAGTCATAATAAAGTTTTTCACTATCCAGTCAAGCCGTCTCAAAACTTTTATGACCGTCAATTAATTAATCACGTAAAACACTGTAGGAGGACATTAAGAGCTGGGTGTTAAAAGCGAATAACAGATGGTACAACTACTGCCACTACGTTGGCCGCTACCCCCTTCCTTCAAATTATCCTAACCATCGCACAGTGTATACCATGTTTTAAATATTTACATAGTGAGTTCTAACAACTTATAAAACTTTTGGTGAGGTAATATGAATACTGTAATAACGTGTTATGTTGTAAATATATTGTCTGAAAGTTAGGATTTTTATTTTATTTATCATAACATCCACCCCACATCTTTTCAGCCGGTATATTAATAATCATAATATGATACAGACAGTAGCCTAGGTGACGAATACACTTAGAGATAAACATTCTGGAACATTGTTCAAGAGATGAATGTCTTCGTAGCTTAATATATTTTTACCATTTTAGTTTCAAGATATACACTGTGTAGAATTATTACTACAATAGAAAAACGTATATAAATTGTTAATAAGCCAGACACAAATAGATACTTGTCAGGTCTTTTCTTTAATTAAGATGGAAAATACATGGTTCAACTTTAGTATTGCATCCTAATACTTACCACCGAATATCACAAAGAAATTCAACAATAGTGTTACGACAGCGGAAGTCACGTGACGCTGGTAACACGTAATGAGTATCTAGAAGGTTCCAGAAGGCTCGAGACGCCCTCTATTTTGTATATATAAGAATGGCAAATGAAGCGGGGGAGAATAATTGCAGACAGAGAGATATAGAGACAGATAATCGAGTCAAGCCGTAAGTAAACTGCGTGAATCGTTGTGAATTCTAGCGTGTGTTTAAGTGAAAGTGACTGTGGAAATTAAGTGTATTGCAAAGTTATGTTGAGAAAGAATAAACTAGTTTTATTTAAGAAAGGACTTGTATCGCTGAAGTTTTTCAGAAGGAAATTTTACGGGAAATTAACAAACGACCAGAGACGTAACAGTAGTGTCTGGGTAATTAAGAAAGCTGGTAATCATTTAGATTTACTTGATAGTTTTGGATTAGAAACTGCCTTTTCTATTGGGGAATCAAAACTTGCTGTCGTTTTTAGTGATGTATGGAACCAGTCTTGTCAATTAGATAGAATATTTCAGCGTTCTAATTTAAGCAATGGAATCCCGTTATGGATAATCCAAAATCTTTGAATTTGAAATAAACAATCGGAATATCTAAATAGTTATTGGTCTGAAAGGTAACTACAATCTCCTGAAATATGTCAGCAAAAATCTTGCGAAGATGAAGAAAAAAAATCCTCATGTTTTGTTTTTCCACTTCCTGTTTAAAGTCTGCAAAAAAATTGCATTGTTTTAAAGTGCCAAAAAAGCCGTTAAAAGATTCGCTCTAATCACGATAATTCGGTTCTTGATCATTTATCACATAGCACGGAATCACATAATAATAATAAGTTTACAAACAGCGATCTATAAACATAATGAAGTGATTTAATTTTGTGGGTGGGGGCATACTACATGCTTCGACATAATATTGGCCTGTCTTCTTCATACCAGTAGAAGACAGACCGATATCCCAAAAAATAAATCACTTCACTATGTTTATAAATCGTTGTTTGCTAACTTATTATTATGTTCGCATAATATGCTTCGTTAGTAAAGTAATCAAGCACATATTTAACAACCAAAAAATAAATACATATAATTGTTTGTTTGTTTGTTATTAATTATGCACAAAGCTACACAAGGGCTATCTGTGCTCTGCCCACCACGGGTATCGAAACCCGGTTTCTAGCGTTGTAAGTCCGCAGACATACCGCTGTGCCACTGGGGGGCAAATACATATGAAATAACTGCATTAAATATATCGAAGTTATATTAGTCACTTAACACGGATATAGAAAAACCTTGAGAGAATAACGAGTTTGGCTAATTGCACAATGCCGACATATATATATATATATATATATATATCAAATACATATACAACGTTTAAATAAATATTTAGGTTACTCTAACCTCTTATTATCAGAACCTTCGCCGTTTTGTTAATGACTTAATTCAAGGGTGTTTTTTAATCATAGCAAACATGTATACCTTACTCATTTAGCGATAGTGTGCCGGCTAAGAAGAAAACCTTGTTAATTGAGTTAATAACTAATCCCTGTGTGTTAAGATATTGAGGAAGTTACTTACAATTCCAACCAACAAATCCTTTAGCCATTTGCTCCATTGTAGGGTTTAGACACGCTCCTACATAGTAATCCATTAGGGCAGTCAGTAGAATGATTAACAAGAAAATCTGGGCCTAAAAAATTGTGTTAAATCAAAAATCAGTATTTATTTTTTGTACTTACAATTACTGAGAAACAGAGGAAAGAAACTATATCTGAAATCGTTGATGTTTTTATGGACTGTTTTTGAACTGATGAACAATCGATTCTAAACTCCAAACCTCTGAACATATATTACAGTTTATATTGTTTCCATTGAGTAAAAGAAAATGTATTTTTAAATAAAAAGTAATACAAAATATAGGGTTATGAGGGTTCACTTGTATTTACATTTTTGTCGCAAGTTTTCTTCAAAAATGTAGAAATATAAACACAAAATTTGTTTTTATTTATCTAACTTTTATAAAGTACCCGTTTCCAAATTTAATCAAAATTCCCACTGATGTTACGTTAATGTCATTTAAGGAATAGTGACGTTTATTTTGTTTCTAAAACAAATTAGTTAACTCCATTTAACCATTTGTCTATAAGGTGTATAATACCAGAATTTTACATTCGAAACGTTAAGTAGTTTTCCTGGTCAAGAAAAACCTGAACTACTTTTAAGATTATCTTTAAAATATTAAATGTTTAAACACTTACCTTGTTTTCGAAAGCCATTCCGACTGAGGTAATAGATGTCATAAGAAAAAGAAGAATAATTCCAACGATACGAACGTCATTGGTTCCACTAGGATGCTCAACTATTCCTACGTTGTTCATCTTGGGAATGAAAAATATTATATGTGGATATTCTGAACCGTATTGGGTATATTAGAAAAAAGTTACCATTATCAAGCTTGAACATTATACATATATTTGGGTTGGATTGTTATTAATCACAAAGCTACACAGTGAGCTTTCTGTGTTCTTCTAACTACGGGTATCGAAACCCGAAACTTAGTGTTGTAAGCCTGTAGACTTGCAGCTGAGCTACTGGGGAGCATACACACACACACACACGCAAATATATATAGTCATGAAACACGATAGTGTTTCGTAATAAGTATAGCTCAGGAATTTCACAAAATTCTAATAGAATAGACCATTTTAAGAAGCAGACTTGTTCTTGAAATAACACCCAAGACCTTCTACCTCAATGTATAAGGCTGCTAAAACACTGACAATAGCAAAAACTTTGATTTTCCGATTTTTAGACAAAATTCAAAATTCATCCATTTGTTCTTCATATTATTATTATTATTATTATTTATATTATTTTTGTTTCACAAGCCTACAGAAAAAACGGCTATGAATGTTTTATTCAACCTGGACAAACCTACCAGAAAAACTCCTGCGCAGGTCATAGGACAGATTTTATCAGTTTTTTCATAGCTACTGGCCAAGTTTCTCTTCGAAGACGTTCAAGTCCTGAAGTCTACTGCAAAAACGACTAGGCATACTGCGCCAAAATCTATGCACAGTTACTAAACAAACTCCCACGAAGGTTGTGGGGCTATTTTAAAGATGATTCTAAAATTTTCAAATTTCCTTTTCGCTACCAACATAAGCTTTTCGAAATTGAGTTAAAATAGAGATTTGTAGCTTGAGAATATAACTTAGACATTATTTTCAGCTTAATTTGCTGTCTTTTTTAGAGTCCCTAGTTGTTGGCTTAAAAATATAATATTTTCATTTGGATTCAACTTGTTTCTGTTTTGTTTTTTTACCATCCATATTCACCTTTTTAAATTAAATGTTTTTAATTATCTTGTAAATATTAGGTCATCACATTTTTTTAGATGGAAAAACCCAAACAAAACAAACCACTTATTAAATGAAAAAGTCTCAATTCTTATCGATAATGCTTTTCCATCTTACAATCAGGTTGTTAATGCCCTGATTAAGAAATCACTTGGCTTTGAAGCTAAAAATATGTCGATGTTTTCTTTAATGCCTTCCACATTTGCATACGTTTTCGCATTAAGATGGTGTTGCACCAAACGAAAAAAGATAGTAATATGATGGCGCCATATCTGGACATGCATTGTCGTGGAGAAAAACA